AAAAAATACACGTGTATTTAAACAAATTCATCTCATCTATACATATGATTAAAACTAAATATTCTGTTTGAAAGACGGTATTTAAAGGCTCAGAAGCTACGTAGTTTGGTTTCTAGTCTATGGCCCAACTAAAAATACTTAATGAGCAAAACTTGCTGTCGCAGCTGGCGCTGAATTGTGTTGAAACCATTTGTTGACAGTACAAAAAATCTGAGTTCGTATGACATGAAATATAAAGGCTCAGCCAATATTCAACAAACAGCTAACCTCTATTTTCACTATAGTTTGGCTATTTAGTAATTTGTAAATGTTCACTGGTTTTATGAGATAAACTGATGAATACTTAATAAGGATGTACATCTCCCAACGGTTTCTCACTGATGTACTTACCATTTTTCCACTATTTTACTTCTATTTTTCTTCAAAGCAGAATTTTGGACGCTCTTTTTTGAAAAGAGGAAGTTTGTGGACTGTAGAAAGCCTCTATGACCTGGCATGTAAGTTATTATTCGCAAATTAAGAATTTGACTACTTTAATCGATAATTATTTTGTTATGATTAAGGATTACAGTAAAAGCTTTACGATAGTTCGCAGGTTTTAGTTGCAAATATTGAAAAAATAGGGGAAGAACTGTCTATTATTTCACCATTTTCAACTATTCTTCACCCAATGTTAGCATTTTAAAAAATTATCTGAAAACACATTTGTTCAACCTGAATCGGGTGCATGCTCCAAAACAATCCCATTTGATTTAAGCGTTCGTTTTATCATGAAAAATAATAAGTGGTAACAGAGAATGTTGGTGATGATTCAAACAAAACTGGAAGCAATACATAATTATAAGCAAACAACATACAGTACAATATCACTGTTTTCTGATCACAGATTTCTTGAGAAGTGTTTAAATATTCTTTTAAATATTTGTTCTTCAGTTTTATCTGTTAAACAGTTAACAGTAAACCTACCAGTACAATTTTTGAGTTATTGATTCGTGAATTCAATAGATTAATTATACAGCCAGATCATGCTTTGTGTATTCATCGTCTGTTGTTAGCTTATAGAGGTACTACAATTTAATTTTAAATTACAGATGAAATCTACACTTATAGTAACATATTTATACCAGGTTATTCAAAATCACTCCTACAATCTCATATATATCAATTGCTCTTTGGTTCTTAGTGCTTCCTTAATTGATATCAACAATTGTTATAAATTATCTTTAAATTATACGTAAAGCTTACTAATAAAAGTTCTGAGATTAAAACTATTCTTTAATTTCTCGTTGGATGTCACATAGCACTGTACGGATACCTCCATTCACCATTCAGATGGCATCGTTTTGCAGAGTTACTTGGTTTTACTTCGAAGGAAATCCATGAAATAAATGAAACACTCTCACAATTTGAATACTATGATAATGATCCAGCTGTATCACAATCAAGTTTAATGACACCTCGAAGAATATTTTGCTTACTACTATCTAAGTTTCAAAAGCTTGGTGGATGCTTATCTCAAGTTGCAAGTATCCTCCATTCAGCCTCACGAGATAAAAATAAGATTTCTAATAATCTATTACAATCGAATAAATACTATGAAGATTTTAAAATGTTTTCAGATTGTTATCACCATAATCATCCAATGTCTGACACATACTTTAATAGTGAGGATTCCTCTGTTTCAGAGCGAATTTGTCAATCTCAAAGTGAGTTGGCTATTTTCTTTATTCGTAGTTGAATCAATGTAAAATTATATGCAGTAATTATATCATTCATAGGTATTTTGTATTTTTCGTGTTGACAAGGAAACATAACTATATGCGTGAATATCAGCTTACCTAAATTGGTCTAAGTGTTACCTTGGTATTGCTTATCAACACAGAATTACTATTGGATAGTGTACATTACTGTCGTAATACAAATGTAAAGACTTAAGGTGACATGACAGATATATTCATTCCTTATCATGATATTTATTAGTATTTCGTGCATTTCGTATATATAACCTGTTGCTGTCGGTGTTGTTTTGGTTTCGTTCTGCCTTTTAGTTCAGTAATTTTCTCACTTACTATGCATATTAATAAATGTAGCAATTTGGCCCTATACATATAAATCAAAGCATACACTCCTTATCGACTATTTGAATAAATGCCGACCGTATGTTTTTCCATGTTCTTTTTTGTTCATATTAATCTTATGATCGATGCAAATTTAAAGTAAATTTAATGATACTTAATAAGTACTCATCAAGTTTTAACATGTTAATGTTTCATATATATGCAGGAGATTCATGAGAAGAAAAATAAGTTAATGTACAACGCAATATATGATTCTGTTCACTTGATTGAACCACGTGATCATAGAGAACTATAGATTATAGGAACTGTTTATATTATCATCATTATTACACTGGGTATTATTATTATTGTTTTCATTATTGCTAACGTTACAACTAAACAGGTTTCCACTTGTTGAAAGGTCATTTATGGCAGTGATATATCTTGTTATTTTTTCTATCACGTGTTGAATAGCTACATACATTTATCATCTATCTCTTCAAAGCATTCATTATTATTATTATTATTATTATTATTATTATTAGTGTGATATTTCACTTGCTTATAATAATTTAAACAATTCTAATTTCACACACCAACTCATGATAAAAATGTTATAGTAATTTTGAAGTATGCCAAATTCAATAATACAAATATTCCTGGATTAATTTTTCTAAACAAGTTTTAAAATATAAACATGTATCCATGTTAGTGATTGTCATATTTATTAAGTTCGTTTATATTATTACTAATTAATAGGTTATTAATCATTTTGTGTTGTGTTATTTTTTTTATTCTTTTATTCATCAAAAAGAAAAATAATAAAGCAGTCAAATTTATGTTTGTTTACTCACATTAAACATATGAACTATTCATATAATTTATACAATATGTTTTATATAAAACACAATTTTATTTATAAGCTTTATTTATTTAAATAATGACATGTAAACATATGTTCATTTTACAATGAATAAATGATACTTTTTGTAATTGAAATGTGATTGGTTAAAATTTTCATTTTGTTAGTCATAAATGACTCATCATGTTTATATCAAAAAATTGATTTCGTTTAAATAATCATCCACAATCCCTCCTCGCGAGACGCAAACCCAGGACCTATCAATCTCGCGCGCGAGCACTTAACCACTAGATCAATGAGTTGGCATCCAACAGCGTTAATGTCTACCTTCGACCAATCCACGAAATTGAGCGACACATCCACCATTGTCATCAGTGTGTTACTATCTCACAACAGACCTGGTTGAACTCCATTGGTCACTGCTTCTCACTAGAACTCCAGGATATACCTCTTGAAGCTAGTCACTTGTGAGCATATGTTGATTAATATCGGAAGGAGTTTTGTGGATATTATAGTAATTTCAAGGGTTGAAATAATGAGTCAGTTCGAATTTTGCTAGGCGGAATCGTGGATGCTCACTGCTGAGGAGTCCCACGATGGAATGAAACGGCCGTTCAGGGCTTCCAGGTTTTCCATGGTGGTCTAGCTTCAACTGACTCACTATTTAACCATTGAAATTACTATAATATCCACAAAACCCCTTCTGATAATAAATGATTATCGTTTATTATTATAAATATGATATTACTGAAAATAAATATAAAAATATATAGTGTGATGTAAAAAAGATAGAATTCAACTCCTCAATTAATCAAAGATTCTACTTATACTATAAGCCATTTAGTACAACTTTTGGCAGATTTTTGATAATAATAAATCAATTATTCTCTATGACGACAGTCATTATTATTATTAAATAATATTAATCGTATGATGAATGAAAACTAGAACAGATTAATAATTCAATATTGAATGATCGTCGACCGATGTCGATGATGAGTACTTACCTCACTCCAAACTTGCTCAACATTATAGGTTACAAATTTTTATAATAAAAGCGTTCTATATATTGATTACGTTTCTACTAAACTTCTTGAAAAATTATTTACTTCTGTTTCTATTAATGAAAATAAATATACTTTTTTAGTGCTTATTAGAAGTAAGATATCTAATATTTCCGAGCATTTTTCCATTCATTTTTGTGCATAAGTGTATAATTCTCACTGGAGATTTCATTTCAATTATATAGAACTATCTACATATGTTTCCTATGAACAAGACATCATAGTTCATCCCAATTTACTGGATGTAAGAAAAGCAAACAAAGTGAAAGTTAGAGCTTGAAATGAAATCCCCAGTGAAAATTATGTTTTTATATACATTTATTTGCTAACTAAGCTGAAAAATTCTAGATATTCTAGAAATACAGAACCATAAAAAGCAGATGTGCTAAAGGTTCACAGACACATATCCTATCTCCTAATTATTGGGATGTAAGTTTGAAGTCTCCGCTCAACAAAGTTTTTTCACCAATCTTCATATGAAAAATAGTAATTAAAACAGAATAATTAGTTATTTAATGAAGTAATGCGTTACATTATATTTACATATTTACGTTGTAAATAAAAATGGCTCAGAACTGTAGGAAGATAGTATATGAATTGAGTATGGGTAAGAAAAACTAAAATTCAAAAGTAATCATTTCTATTAAATTTATTATTTAGCGAAGAACCGTTTTCTAGAAGACTTGGGGAATATAAGATATTAAGTGAATTTAGGTTCCAGTATTGATCAGCCATTCCACATTACTATAAAACAAGGGATCATTATTTATTTTACTTGATTCAGTCAGTAATGGTCATTTTTGTGTGAACGAAGTATCAAGGATTAACTTTCTATACAAGTTGAGGTTTTACGTTATCCGATTCACGGTATTTGGTAAATAAAGAAGGAACGATTAGTTTTTCATCATTGCTCTACACTAATATATATGATTTGCAATAATGAAATAATGCTTATCGATTGGATACGTTACGTAATAATTACATAATGACATTTCGATTATGAATCAAAATTAAGTAATTAGAAGAAATAGGATTAATAATATTCAAAGTAATTATTCGAAATCACTCGATGAGTATTATTTCATCATTGTAAATCATATATATATATTAGTGTAGAGCAATGATGATGTCTAGTTTTTGGAATGACGAATAATGGTTTTATATGATATTCACTTCATAATGATCTTTATTTTGTAGTTGTTGTTCTTCTCTTTCTACTCAGTTGTCTGGATCTAGGTAAAGGACTTTGAAGACAATTTAAGTATAGTGTCAAAAATTAGGGTTTTAATAGGAGGTATGACGATACTGTTAAAGTGTAAATGGAATTGTAGATACTCTAACTAACTCCTCAAAAGTCTAAAATCAGTAAACTCGTAGAGAATCAGCTTCCTCATGACCGTACATTCACCTCTCCGAAGAGTGTTAGCTAATACGAAGCCTAGGTCAAAAGTTTCCTACAAACCACTTCCTACCATCTTACATAATAACACCGAGTTAGCTCTTTATTCAATAGTCAGAGATTTCAGTTGGTTTCCAATTTATGTAAGTTTGGGATAAATATATCTTCAAGCGTGGAGTCTTAATTTTAGAGAAAACCAACCTGATGCCATAAATATCTAGCCTACAGAGTTTGATAATTCATATTGAATGTTATATATGTGCTTAGTTTCATTTAACCTGTAAAATTATGTTTTTTTATATGAAAGTGAAAAAGCGTTTTAGACTCACGTCTAACCGACAATAAATGATGTTTAATTCAATAATGATGTATGGTGTGAATCTTGGGAAGAAAAAAATGGAGTTCGGTTAAGCTTATCGATTCCTAAATCTATGAGAAGTGTGCTAAGACTAATGCGACATAATATTACGATAACTTACCCTTTTAATCTAGGTAGCTTATAATTGTTATCTAGTCATCTATATATATTTTTTCAGTTCTCTTTTTAAAAATATCATACTGTTTTAATTCTAACTGTCTTCCCCGCTTTAATTCTGTTCTATTATCGCAGAAATAACTCATGGTATCTGTCATCCGAACCAATCGAATCAGAATATAACTTTTCCTACTACTGAACAGTATAATCATGTTGAAACACATTATGCAAGTGAAGATGATAATTATCAGCCTAAACAAATTATAAATGAATCAAAAAGAAAGATATTTAGAAATGGTAGTCTAGATAGAATTATGAGTTTGAAAAAACCATGGTCAAGACATGTTAGACGAAGAAATAGCTTGCCCACAACTGGTCAATCAAATGATCCTAATCATATTACTACACTACCCACTTTTAAACTGGCAAAAGAGTTTGATAATTTTATAGAATTTGGTACACCTATTAAACGTGCCTCGTCTTATCTGAATTTAGATAAAGAAATATCTCAAATTACACCACATAAAAAACAATGTACAGATAATAATAATAATAATAATAATAATAATAATTTTGAAATCCGACAACAAAAATATGAATCTGTTCGTAAACCTAAAATTATAACAAAACGTCGAGTTGATAAGAATTTACTTCGACAGCGAAAATCAAATCAAGCTTTACTACCTAATCTATGGCATCCTTCGATATCTTCAACAACGGACAAAACAACTGAACATATATTAAATGTTGTACAGGCAAAAATTGAAGAAACTAAACGAGAAACTGAAGCAATTCACAAGAATGTCATATCATTTTTGGAAAAAATACAATCGCCTGTTAAAAATATACCAAATTTCACTGAATGTGATCAGAAAATCAAAGAAACCAATTCGTTATTTCTTTTTTCAGATAGATCAATTCAAGATAATGATATATGGAATATTATTCACTTATGTAATAGTACTAATGCACCGAATTGGAAAAGCTGGCTTAAAATATGTCATCCTACTTATAATGAACTGAATCCCTTCGATCAAAACTGGTCGAAAATTTTGAATTTTAGTAAAATTGATCAACGTTATACGTCTTATCTTATTTTATTAAATTGGATAGAAATTAATTCTAATCCCAAAACGAACATTAAACCAACTTATATGAATTTATTTAAACAATTGATTAATGAAGGTTATAATGAGTTTGTGATTTTATGTAAACAAAAGCTTTTCAATAATTATCCACGCAAACGAAATTTTATAAGTTAATTCATTTCCTGTTTTACTTATCTTGTAAATGAACAGTTCCTGTGATATTTATCCTGTTAATTTTAACAAAGCATTCTTTTATCTACGTAATAATTATTTACTACTTAATAGTAGCATATCTGTATATATGTATTAAACTTCATTTTTGTACAAGATTTTGTAAATAGAACAATTTATCTTACCGCGGACGATTGTTTTAGCATCCCTTACTAATCTCTGTAAATATTGCTAATGTACATACAAAAGTAGGAACTCGCTAATCAGCTACTTTAGTTCTGAGTACAGTAAACTATTAACCTGTTCTTATTGGTTGATTGATTATTATTGGACACTAATTTGTATTACTTTTGTAACAAATCAACTGATAGTACATACAACCAGTTCAGAGTTTCTGTTGAAATCATAAACCTTAAATAATAGTAGAAAAATTGCGATGGCTACCTTCTATGAAACTAATGAAGTTTTTGGTAGACTTTATTTAGATGGGTTCAATACCCCGTTGAAGAATTTTCCTGGTATTGAAAGAAGAGTGATTCCCCTGTAGTTGTCACAGTTGCTGAAATCGCCTTTCTTTGGTATTTTGACTAGAAGTCCTTCTTTCCAGTCTTTTGGTACCTGTTCCTCATCCCAAATCTTTCTGAAGAGAGTTTGGAGTATCCTTGCAGTTGCTGCTACGTCTGCTTTCAGTGCCTCTGCTGGAATGCTGTCTAGTCCTGCTGCTTTGACACACTTGATTTGTCTGATAGCCATACTGATTTCTTCAATTGTTGGTGGGCCAACATCGATTGGGAGGTCCGTGGGTGCTGCTTCGATGTTGGGTGGGTTGAGTGGGGCTGGTCGATTCAAGAGTTCTTTGAAGTGTTCTACCCACCTGCTTCGTTGTTCTTCAATGTTGGTGATTAACTTGCCTTCCTTGCTTTTCACTGGTCGTTCTGGTTCACGATGATTTCCAGAGAGTTTCTTTGTTGTGTCATACAGTTGTCTCATGTTTCCTTCTCTTGCAGCCATTTCCGCCGTCATTGCTAAATCTTCCACATATTTACGTTTGTCGGTTCTGATGCTCCTCTTCACTTGCTTGTTTACTTCTGTGTATTCAGCTTGTGCCTTGGCTTTTTCTGCTCTTGTTCGGCTGGTATTGATTGCTGCCTTATTGTTCCTCCTTTCTTGAATCTTATCCAGAGTATCAACAGTGATCCAATCCTTGTGATGGTGCTTCTTTTGGCCCAGAACCCCATGACATGTTGAAGTGATTGCCTCTTTTGTCTCTTGCCAGTCGCTCTCCATAGTAGTTCCTTCTCCATTGAGTAGATCATGAAAGGCCTGGAACTTATTGCTGAGGGTTATATTGAATTTGTTGAGTTTATCATTATTCCGAAGAAGAGCCGTATTAAACTCTTGTGATATTGTCCGCCCCGTTGTCCAGTGCTTCTTGAGTTTCAATTTCATCTTGGCGACCAGTATTTGATGATCTGATGCTATATCAGCTCCTCTGTTGGTTCTCACATCCTCCATCGTCCTCTTGAACATTTTGTTGATTCAGATATGGTCAATTTGGTTCTGTGTGGTGTGATCCGGTGAAGTCCATGTGGTTTTGTGAATGCGTTTGTGTGGGAATATAGTGCCGCCTATGACCAGTTTATTGAAGGCACATAGGTTTGTAAATCTCTCACCATTTTCGTTCTTTTCTCCCAGTCCGTGTCGTCCCATGATGTCTTCATATCCGGTGTTGTCAATTCCAACCTTGGCATTTAAATCTCCCATCAGAATGGTCAGGTCCTCTGTTGGGCACTTCTCGACGATTGACTGCAGCCTATCGTAGAATTGATCTTTAGCGTCTTCGTTGTAGTCGTTGGTAGGCGCGTAGCATTGGATGACGTTCAATGTAATGCCCTCTTTCTTTGTTTTGAAGGAGGCTTTGATGATCCTTGGTCCATGAGATTCCCATCCTATAAGTGCATTTTGTGCTTGTTTGGACAGCATCAATGCTACTCCTTGTGTATGTGGGGCATTTTCTTCTTCATGTCCGGAGTATAACAGCAGCTCCCCTGAAGCTAGTCGTTGTTGTCCCACATGCGTCCAATGTGTCTCACTGATCCCAGGCACCTTCAGGTTGTATGTCCTGATTTCTGTGGAAGACTCTCCCAGTCTCCCACATTGTACGAGCATTCCATGTACCTAAATAAACGGTTGCTCTGGTTGTCAGAAGGGGCATCAGTCTCGTGACTTCCGAAGAAACTCGGCTTTCATCATGAGGCGTCATAATTCTTCTAAACGAAGACCTCCTGACTCCCAAGGCAGAGTTTAAATGGTTTGAATAATTTTTTCTGGTCAGCGATTTTTGGCGAGTTAGTTTCCTACGGGATGGGGACGCTAACCCCATGTCCAACCGTCCTCCTTTATCCGGGCTTGGGACCGGCAGTAGCCCCCGGAGGGACTCCAGGCGGAGTTAAAATCCATAGTTTAATTTAATGTAATTTGGAAAAAGTATACGAAGTAATCACCGATAAGAGAATACTACAATTATTTTGAACTTAACAATTTGAATGTGATGCGATTTGATAACACATCCAATAACATGTACCAGACTATGAATCATACAATTTTTCGCCTTCATAGTTATATGTGAATCTGTTTTCGACATAAATACCTAAAGGTTATAAGTCTGTTGTTTAATTCATTAAGATCCAGTCATTATAAAACAAAGGATACTTATTTAATCAGCTGGAATTGTTATCGTTTGAACTACAATACGGTTTTATTTTTATATTTTAGCTGTGTTGATCCTAACTTCTGATTCTTCGATCTCATTATATCTATTTAAATTTTATTTGACATAATTTCCTCTCATTTATCTTGAGGATGACTGACTGATTGAGTTCGTGAAATTACTGTATTCACCGTGGACTACTAATCTAGTTTCGTTCAATACTACACAAAATAACTCTTCTGTTCCGATGTGATAAATTGATTGACAGTGGTTATTTTGTGATAATCAGTACGAAAGAAATTGTCATAAATTTTCATGTTTTTTGCACATATCAAAATAAGTTTTTATTTCATGTTAAACAAGCATATTTGCTGTTCTTGTCACGTATAATTTATTATTTTAGTAATAATATTAATTATTAGTGCTTAGGTTACGTAATCAGTTAACATCTGTCTAATCTTTAAATGTTTTTCATTCTCATCTTATATGCTAAATGTTCAGACATGCATGTACATAACATATACACATACAAACATAACATAACACAATGTCTCTTAGTTGTGTTGACAACTCAACTTATTTACTAAAACTGACCTGATTTTTATTCCATTTCATTAAATTTTTAGTTGCTCATTCAATTTGTGTTAAACTGATAAAATAACATATAATCGACTATAAACAGAATTTGAACGTTTAATTTAACCAGTAATGTTAATCTTTAGTTCTAACAAATCTTGATGAATTGATTTAGTATCTATGTAAGTGAGTAAACCTGCAGGTTAACTTCAAAGTTATTATTTAGATTCAATGTTCACAAATAATGTTTTATTCTGAAAAATCTATTGTAAACTTTTATTGAGTTCTAGTTTAATTACATTGAGATTTTTTATATCATAGCAGCTATATGACAATATGTGTTCTAGCTTGTTCTTGACATTAATATTTATTTGTTATTTTAAGTTGGTGAATAATTAATTCTATAAAATACCTATTATGGAAATGTATCCGTTCAAATCCAACCATATGATGTGTAGGTCAGTTAATCATTCAACCAGTCGTTATTAAAACCAATGGAAATAATTGAGTAGTAACCAAAATTATGTTGTTTGTTTCTAATTAATGGTCAAATTCTATGAATTAAGTTGTAATGTAGTTACATGCTAAAGTGTGGACTCGATGTCATAGGAAACATAGTGTTGATGTCTAGTTGAAAATTCACCTTTTGACATTTGGTAAATAAAGAAGGAACGAATTGGGCGAAGAAATTTCTTTTCAATTAGTTTTTCATCATTGCTCTACACTAATATATATGATTTGCAATAATGAAATAATGCTTATCGATTGGATACGTTACGTAATAATTACATAATGACATTTCGATTATGAATCAAAATTAAGTAATTAGAAGAAATAGGATTAATAATATTCAAAGTAATTATTCGAAATCACTCGATGAGTATTATTTCATCATTGTAAATCATATATATATATTAGTGTAGAGCAATGATGATGTCTAGTTTTTGGAATGACGAATAATGGTTTTATATGATATTCACTTCATAATGATCTTTATTTTGTAGTTGTTGTTCTTCTCTTTCTACTCAGTTGTCTGGATCTAGGTAAAGGACTTTGAAGACAATTTAAGTATAGTGTCAAAAATTAGGGTTTTAATAGGAGGTATGACGATACTGTTAAAGTGTAAATGGAATTGTAGATACTCTAACTAACTCCTCAAAAGTCTAAAATCAGTAAACTCGTAGAGAATCAGCTTCCTCATGACCGTACATTCACCTCTCCGAAGAGTGTTAGCTAATACGAAGCCTAGGTCAAAAGTTTCCTACAAACCACTTCCTACCATCTTACATAATAACACCGAGTTAGCTCTTTATTCAATAGTCAGAGATTTCAGTTGGTTTCCAATTTATGTAAGTTTGGGATAAATATATCTTCAAGCGTGGAGTCTTAATTTTAGAGAAAACCAACCTGATGCCATAAATATCTAGCCTACAGAGTTTGATAATTCATATTGAATGTTATATATGTGCTTAGTTTCATTTAACCTGTAAAATTATGTTTTTTTATATGAAAGTGAAAAAGCGTTTTAGACTCACGTCTAACCGACAATAAATGATGTTTAATTCAATAATGATGTATGGTGTGAATCTTGGGAAGAAAAAAATGGAGTTCGGTTAAGCTTATCGATTCCTAAATCTATGAGAAGTGTGCTAAGACTAATGCGACATAATATTACGATAACTTACCCTTTTAATCTAGGTAGCTTATAATTGTTATCTAGTCATCTATATATATTTTTTCAGTTCTCTTTTTAAAAATATCATACTGTTTTAATTCTAACTGTCTTCCCCGCTTTAATTCTGTTCTATTATCGCAGAAATAACTCATGGTATCTGTCATCCGAACCAATCGAATCAGAATATAACTTTTCCTACTACTGAACAGTATAATCATGTTGAAACACATTATGCAAGTGAAGATGATAATTATCAGCCTAAACAAATTATAAATGAATCAAAAAGAAAGATATTTAGAAATGGTAGTCTAGATAGAATTATGAGTTTGAAAAAACCATGGTCAAGACATGTTAGACGAAGAAATAGCTTGCCCACAACTGGTCAATCAAATGATCCTAATCATATTACTACACTACCCACTTTTAAACTGGCAAAAGAGTTTGATAATTTTATAGAATTTGGTACACCTATTAAACGTGCCTCGTCTTATCTGAATTTAGATAAAGAAATATCTCAAATTACACCACATAAAAAACAATGTACAGATAATAATAATAATAATAATAATAATAATAATAATAATAATAATTTTGAAATCCGACAACAAAAATATGAATCTGTTCGTAAACCTAAAATTATAACAAAACGTCGAGTTGATAAGAATTTACTTCGACAGCGAAAATCAAATCAAGCTTTACTACCTAATCTATGGCATCCTTCGATATCTTCAACAACGGACAAAACAACTGAACATATATTAAATGTTGTACAGGCAAAAATTGAAGAAACTAAACGAGAAACTGAAGCAATTCACAAGAATGTCATATCATTTTTGGAAAAAATACAATCGCCTGTTAAAAATATACCAAATTTCACTGAATGTGATCAGAAAATCAAAGAAACCAATTCGTTATTTCTTTTTTCAGATAGATCAATTCAAGATAATGATATATGGAATATTATTCACTTATGTAATAGTACTAATGCACCGAATTGGAAAAGCTGGCTTAAAATATGTCATCCTACTTATAATGAACTGAATCCCTTCGATCAAAACTGGTCGAAAATTTTGAATTTTAGTAAAATTGATCAACGTTATACGTCTTATCTTATTTTATTAAATTGGATAGAAATTAATTCTAATCCCAAAACGAACATTAAACCAACTTATATGAATTTATTTAAACAATTGATTAATGAAGGTTATAATGAGTTTGTGATTTTATGTAAACAAAAGCTTTTCAATAATTATCCACGCAAACGAAATTTTATAAGTTAATTCATTTCCTGTTTTACTTATCTTGTAAATGAACAGTTCCTGTGATATTTATCCTGTTAATTTTAACAAAGCATTCTTTTATCTACGTAATAATTATTTACTACTTAATAGTAGCATATCTGTATATATGTATTAAACTTCATTTTTGTACAAGATTTTGTAAATAGAACAATTTATCTTACCGCGGACGATTGTTTTAGCATCCCTTACTAATCTCTGTAAATATTGCTAATGTACATACAAAAGTAGGAACTCGCTAATCAGCTACTTTAGTTCTGAGTACAGTAAACTATTAACCTGTTCTTATTGGTTGATTGATTATTATTGGACACTAATTTGTATTACTTTTGTAACAAATCAACTGATAGTACATACAACCAGTTCAGAGTTTCTGTTGAAATCATAAACCTTAAATAATAGTAGAAAAATTGCGATGGCTACCTTCTATGAAACTAATGAAGTTTTTGGTAGACTTTATTTAGATGGGTTCAATACCCCGTTGAAGAATTTTCCTGGTATTGAAAGAAGAGTGATTCCCCTGTAGTTGTCACAGTTGCTGAAATCGCCTTTCTTTGGTATTTTGACTAGAAGTCCTTCTTTCCAGTCTTTTGGTACCTGTTCCTCATCCCAAATCTTTCTGAAGAGAGTTTGGAGTATCCTTGCAGTTGCCTGCTACGTCTGCTTTCAGTGCCTCTGCTGGAATGCTGTCTAGTCCTGCTGCTTTGACACACTTGATTTGTCTGATAGCCATACTGATTTCTTCAATTGTTGGTGGGCCAACATCGATTGGGAGGTCCGTGGGTGCTGCTTCGATGTTGGGTGGGTTGAGTGGGGCTGGTCGATTCAAGAGTTCTTTGAAGTGTTCTACCCACCTGCTTCGTTGTTCTTCAATGTTGGTGATTAACTTGCCTTCCTTGCTTTTCACTGGTCGTTCTGGTTCACGATGATTTCCAGAGAGTTTCTTTGTTGTGTCATACAGTTGTCTCATGTTTCCTTCTCTTGCAGCCATTTCCGCCGTCATTGCTAAATCTTCCACATATTTACGTTTGTCGGTTCTGATGCTCCTCTTCACTTGCTTGTTTACTTCTGTGTATTCAGCTTGTGCCTTGGCTTTTTCTGCTCTTGTTCGGCTGGTATTGATTGCTGCCTTATTGTTCCTCCTTTCTTGAATCTTATCCAGAGTATCAACAGTGATCCAATCCTTGTGATGGTGCTTCTTTTGGCCCAGAACCCCATGACATGTTGAAGTGATTGCCTCTTTTGTCTCTTGCCAGTCGCTCTCCATAGTAGTTCCTTCTCCATTGAGTAGATCATGAAAGGCCTGGAACTTATTGCTGAGGGTTATATTGAATTTGTTGAGTTTATCATTATTCCGAAGAAGAGCCGTATTAAACTCTTGTGATATTGTCCGCCCCGTTGTCCAGTGCTTCTTGAGTTTCAATTTCATCTTGGCGACCAGTATTTGATGATCTGATGCTATATCAGCTCCTCTGTTGGTTCTCACATCCTCCATCGTCCTCTTGAACATTTTGTTGATTCAGATATGGTCAATTTGGTTCTGTGTGGTGTGATCCGGTGAAGTCCATGTGGTTTTGTGAATGCGTTTGTGTGGGAATATAGTGCCGCCTATGACCAGTTTATTGAAGGCACATAGGTTTGTAAATCTCTCACCATTTTCGTTCTTTTCTCCCAGTCCGTGTCGTCCCATGATGTCTTCATATCCGGTGTTGTCAATTCCAACCTTGGCATTTAAATCTCCCATCAGAATGGTCAGGTCCTCTGTTGGGCACTTCTCGACGATTGACTGCAGCCTATCGTAGAATTGATCTTTAGCGTCTTCGTTGTAGTCGTTGGTAGGCGCGTAGCATTGGATGACGTTCAATGTAATGCCCTCTTTCTTTGTTTTGAAGGAGGCTTTGATGATCCTTGGTCCATGAGATTCCCATCCTATAAGTGCATTTTGTGCTTGTTTGGACAGCATCAATGCTACTCCTTGTGTATGTGGGGCATTTTCTTCTTCATGTCCGGAGTATAACAGCAGCTCCCCTGAAGCTAGTCGTTGTTGTCCCACATGCGTCCAATGTGTCTCACTGATCCCAGGCACCTTCAGGTTGTATGTCCTGATTTCTGTGGAAGACTCTCCCAGTCTCCCACATTGTACGAGCATTCCATGTACCTAAATAAACGGTTGCTCTGGTTGTCAGAAGGGGCATCAGTCTCGTGACTTCCGAAGAAACTCGGCTTTCATCATGAGGCGTCATAATTCTTCTAAACGAAGACCTCCTGACTCCCAAGGCAGAGTTTAAATGGTTTGAATAATTTTTTCTGGTCAGCGATTTTTGGCGAGTTAGTTTCCTACGGGATGGGGACGCTAACCCCATGTCCAACCGTCCTCCTTTATCCGGGCTTGGGACCGGCAGTAGCCTCCGGAAGGACTCTAGGCGGAGTTATATATATATATATGCGCATTTCGCCCTTGTATAAATAGATTGAATCTCAGTGACATATATCAGATTGCACACTCGATCAATTGTTTAAAATTTAAATACAAACCACTCTTTTTACCATTGGATATTTGACTAAAACTATGTGTTCATACTCTATAGGTAAAGAAGGAATAAACAAATCATGTTCACTTAACGTTTTATGATATTATAATCCGATAAATTCTTTTGTCAAATATTATAAAATGAATTGAAATTTTGATATAAGAAGAGGTTATTCTCTGAGCAATGTAATATTTGACTATTCATCAATGTGTTATTCTCCACACAACTACACGTGAATAGGTAGTTATTCTCAGAAACCGCTATAATTCATTAGAAGTCATTCTGGAATTGAGCAAACACAACTTTTCAGTAATATGAAGTTTTGAGAAGTAACTTCATCAGTCAGTCATCTACAGCGTAGGACCAGGCACATATATGCATCGGTCCAAGTTGCCATATCGCATTAGCACGGCAGGATGAACACCGTTGTTGCTACCTTGACGTGATGGTCGGTATTGCCTATCGTGTTGAAGCAGCCAAACTATACTGGCTGGAACAACACTTCCTCAAAATCTCACCATGCAAGACAGGTCTGTTAACAACAAACCAAAGGTTCGAAGGCGAAGTCATACTGTTGACCGTACAGAGGTGTGACAGCAGTAAGGTGTTTCCTTCAGACAACCAGCATGAGAGCGAACGGCAAGGCTAAAGAAATCTATAGCATTTCATTTCTTTTTCCTATAACATTTTGTACTGATATTCAAGATTGTTAAATAGAATTCTGAACTATTGTAAAATATGGCTGTGATAATTTGTTTACAAAGAATAACTTCGTTTGTAATGAGTTTCAACAGGACTGTAGGTCTAAGCGAATATCCTTAAATAAATAACTGGGAATAGTTATTTTCCTTGATCTTTCAAAGATTAAAGTCTATTATTACTTTCACATATGTGATACTTTTTACACGCATTTATCTGTACTATAAGCTCAACTGATTCTACGTTGAGTTCTTATAGTATGAATCCAATTAATAGGACAAAAGGTCATTTTTTTCAATCATAAAATTTCAGCTATGATGAATGGCTATGTTTATAAATCTTATACTATTGCTAACAATGTAATATAATATTTAGATTCGTTTTATTTTTCGGCTCATAACAGTGAAGTTTATGTTTGCCCACAAGCCTCAGTTCAATACAAATCCCAAGATGAGAAACTTACACTATTAAATGTTTTCCAATCAACTCATCATATTATTATGTTAATTCTCTAATACTGACAATGTACTTAGAATTCAGTCGACATCTAAGTAATAAGCCAAGACTCGAGTGTTGTTTACTGTACCTGTAATAGTTCTTATCACATCTACATGAGCACAAAACGTATTTAAATGTGATGTTTGATGAAGAAGCATTTTAGAGACAACAACAAATATTGAAGAAAGGATAAGATCATACTTTTGTAGTGGATGATTATTCAATCATTGTATATATCTATCAAAATGTGTAACTGAATCGTCGTGGCAAAAGTTTGTCTCCTTTTTTTATAATCATATATACAGTGATTTGAAATTTACTGGAGAATCAGAAAAAACCAACAGACCCTGATCAGTTACTCATTTTAACTCTTGAAATCACTTTCTGTTCCATCTAGTATCAAGAAGAAGATCTAAAGTTTTCGTTGAAGTAGTGCGCACGCATTCATATAAGCTGTTTTATGGTACGACCGTCATTAATGTTGAAACTTGTTAAGACTACTACACACTTAATGAAATTTCTGCAAAACAATTATACTACTTACAAGTAGATCAAATTCGTCTCCAAAGTTTGTGTATCTTTCATATCGATGACATTTTAGTAGCAAGCTTGAACCTTGTGCTCAGGACATCTGTGTCACATGTTCGAAATGTAGCTAAGAAACTGGTTGAAGAGGTTCAGTCCAAGGAAAAATTTGATAATAATACTTTACGAAATGTAATATGCAACTTCGATAATGAGTGACTTGATTCAACAAATGAATGTCTACAGAACAATCCCATAGTCGGAAAACAGACAGGTAACAAATTAATCCACTAATACAAGATAATAATTGGATTCTCATCGCTTCTTCCAAGCCTAATAAAAGTAGGAATTGTCATTTCACATATAAATAAAGACTTGTTTGTCAAACTCTCCAATACCTCTTTTCCTAAGCAACTTTGATCAGGATATACTGTCTAAAGCAGTAGCATGTAATATCAATCCAATAGACAGTGAGAATAAGGGCCCAGTGATCACAATATTTGTTGGTCAACTTGTACTGCAAACACAAAGATTTTTAAAAAAATAATCCATTGGATGCCGTACAAGTGTCTAAATAGTAAGATGCTGAGTTTTATTTCATGATTTCACTGTTTGATGTCATTAACTGAAACTGAAAGCCTTTATAGTACTGCATGGCCTCAGTTAGTTTCCATTAATCTTAATCGATGATACGATTAAATCAAAACCATATAAATGTCTATTAATGAATTAATGTTAAAATATGCCGAAAATGTCATGATTCTTCAGATGGACTGCGTACTTTATTAGCCGGGCGAAGTTTTATTTCTTTATCAAGTAAATTCATTTATTATATCAAGGATCATTATCCAAGAAAGAACTGCCCAGTAATATGGTTTCCTACTAACTCAGAAAATCTTCAATGATTTCACTACTAAGGATCATCCAAATAAAGCGTTAATTATTGGCTAAAGTTGTGTTAACATACTTTATTTTAAAAATTCCAAGGATTTTTCGAAAGTCCCAAAACCCCCGGGAATCAATAGATGTAAATACAGGTAGCATAGACTATAT